ATAGGGGCGAAGCCCTTGCCATTGGCCTTGGCAGACCCTGCGGCGAGACCCTTCCCATTCCGCTCCTTCACGGCTGCGGCATCAGCAAACCTAGCCTCCGAAAACTTCTGCGCCTCGGTTTGCACCGCCTCATCACGAGCTGCTGCTGCGGCACCACCATCAGCCTCACCACTGTCAGCAAAGGCGCTGCTGACTGAGGCGCCCCCTGCCGCAGCCGCCTCCGCTGCCGCCTCGGTGCCCTCGGCGCTGCCAGCAGCGACTCCTGCTGAGTTGACTGCAACTTTGGCCTCAACCTCGCGACCTGGGAGGGCCTCCTTCGCCGCTTTGAGCTTCTTCTCATGATTGATCATGATATCTTTCTCGGCCTGCTCGAACTCGCCGATGCCAGCGAATATAGACTCATCCCATGATAGTTTGAAGATCTGTTTCTCATCTTCGGCCTTGGCACGGCCATCTGGTAGAACACTTCCTGCGCGAGCTAGGCTGTGAGCTACCGTTTACTTAGCTGCTACTGCTGCTGCTGCTGCTGCTTTAGCCAAGACGACCGACCGCCGCCCTCTGCTTCTTCTGATCGGCAAAGGCGAGGGACTCGCGAAGGCGGACCACCGACCGCACAGCCTCATCGTGCTTGGTCTCCGCATCGCGCCAGGCGCCTCCTCTGCTGCTGTCCGCTGTGCCTCCGGACTCTCCTGCTCCTCCAGCTTGGCCAACTCCGCCGGGAGGACGTCCTTGACGGTGGCATCCAGGGTGGCGCTGACAGCCATGGCCAGTTGGGCCTTGGCTTAGCCAGGGTGGTTTTGGCTCTTCAGGATCGACTTGCCTGCCCCAGCATCTGTCACTAGCTCGTTCCCCCCCTCCTGAAAGCGAAAGTGCTTCGGCGACTTGGAACGTTGACCGTTGGGAAATTCGTCTTCTCGATGGCAGCGAAAACGCTTCAGCCTGTTGCTTTCTAACTCATCATTCCACTCATGCGTACCGCATCCACGGCACCGAGTCCACAGCCTCAGAGCGAACCCCGACATGAGTAGTATGCCTCTGCTTTGCCGCCGCGAGAGCCCACTGATCGACCCTGCGGTGGCTGGCGCGGCGGCCCTCACGCGCTGCGTGGAAACGCCGGGGCGGACTCGGGCGAAACTCGCTCGAGCCCCCATGCTTGAGAGGAGGAGGCGGAGGAGGAGAAGGAGGAGGAGGAGGAGGAGGAGGAGGAGGACTGGGGACGAGGCGACGTGACGAAGGTGCCCGTACCCGCAGGATGAGCGTCCCTTGGCTGGGGGCGCCCACGGAGCAAGGAGGACCTCCCAGCCCGTCCGCGCGCGGGGAGCCCCGGAGGGCGAGGAGGAAGGGAGCGGAGAGGGCGGAGGAGGACGTGGAGGAAGACGGGGCGGAGGAGGAGGAGGAGGAGGAGGAGGAGGAGGAGGAGGAGGAGGAGGAGGAGGAGGAGGAGGAGGAGGAGGAGGAGGAGGATTGGGGCTGGAAGCCGGCGGGTGTTGGCCCAGCGCGATTGTTGACGATTTCGCGTGGCGTAGTATTTTTGTTGAAGCATCAGAGGTCTGAAGGGGACTTCTCTGGCGAGCCACCCAGCAGAGTGTACCCGACTTGCCACAGAAAGGCAGGGCGAAAAGAAACGATTCATCAACATTGCCAAGCACAGGTTTTTGTGGAGACAAGAAGATGAGCTTCTTCCTAAGCAGTGGCGCCAATAGCAAGCTCGAGCTGGCGGAGGGCGCGTTACCTCCCCAGGTTGCGAGGTCTCAACTCCACTTCCCCTGTCGCTTACGTGTGCTACGTGTGTGGCCTGGAGGTTCGGGTCCGCGGTACCTTCAAGATCCATCTCGCGCGTAAACACCCATCCGCACTAAACCCTCTTGCTTGGGCTAGCAGAACTTCGTGTCAAGCTTAGTTATGGGAGCCCCACATGTTTTCTAGGCTTCACGAGCAGTCCATGGGGGCCCAGAAGTGTATACAGACTTGGATCGCCTGGGCTCCTTCCAAGGCTCCCAAGCTTAGACAGCAAGACTGGGATGTTATGGTTTCGGAGCGCCGTGAAAACCGATGAGCTGGCCATCTTGAGCACTATGCTTACCCTCCTGCCTACAGGACTGCGGGGCAAACGCGTCCTACGCAAGGAGTGGGAAGAGATCCTGCTTCCGTTTCTGCACCTTTACCTGCAGTTCCTGATACATATCCCTATTCAGGTTATGGTCATCTTCCGCCCTACCGGAGAGGAGATCATGCATGCCTTGCATTGTTTTTAAGGTGCCAGGCGAGAGGGTGACCTCCAGGCCGCCTTTTAAGTTGCGCAGGCGAATTTCGTGTGCAGGGTGGTGGTGGTCTCTTTGGACATTGCCAACGGCCCCATCTGGGGGGGCCTCCGAAGGAAGTGTCCTTTGATATTTGGGCGACCTTGATTCGTCAGGGCAAGGTCGCGGGGTTGCGCATGGCCCCCCCTTGTCAGACGTGGAGCTGAGCCCGTCTCTTAGCCTTAGGCCCCGATGTCCCCCCTCCAAGCTCTTGCGTTCCGCGGGTTGCTTTTAGGGCCTGCCTGATCCCAATCCCAAAGAGGCTCGCCAGGTTGCCATCAGAAATGCTTTGATAGGGGGTTAGCATCGTTTTCCTGTGCCACGCTGCGGTGTGCAAGGTCCCTGCTGCCATGGAAGGCTCCGAGAAGCCTGTTGACCCCCCGACGCCCCGTCGTGTTGGAAGTTGCCCGAGTTGTAACACTTTTCGTCGCTTCCAGGGGCACGGAGTTTCCGCCTCGAACACTGTATGCGGGGGGGGGTCGCCACCGTGCAACCTACCCGACCTCTACCGATCTCACTATCGACCTCATCGTCGATCTCACTGTCGAGCTCATTTTCGATGTCACAATCTATATCATTTTTCTCACGTTCGATATCACTACCCATCGGCCTTGCAGTCATTATCGATTACACTTTCAGTATTGTATGTCGACCACACTGTCGGTCTCATTCTCCATCAACGTATCGATATCTCACGATCGATCTCCCACAATGTCTCGGTCTCACTATTTATCGATCTCACAATCGACCCCACTATCGATCGTACTATCGATCCCACTATCTGTTGGTCCAACGATCTCACCATCGATCTCACTATCGATTTCAGTACCGACCTCACAATCGATCTTGCTCAATCGATCTCCCAATCGATCCCACTATCGGTTTCACATCAACCTTCACGGGACACCAGGGGGAGACCGCGGAACACCGCGCCACGGGCCACCACGGGCCACCACAGCACACGACGGGACACCGGCGGGACCCTTCGGGCCAACGCCGGTCTGCCAGGGGGAGGGACATTGAGCCCCGTGTCGCCCTGGCCAGGGCGGGAGCATTCCTCTCGCCCGCCCACGCAGCTTCGCCTCGCCCGCACGCGCGACACGACACCGAAACCGATTTCCCGGTGAGGGGGTCTCCGTTTCACTGCGATCTCACCCCCCAACCTCCAACCTCCACATGGAACTCTTCCACATTTGAGTGCCCTCTGCTTTCCCCCCCGCCTCTGCGCCCGCTCTGTCTGTTTTTGTTCCCTCCTCCTGCGTGTTGGCCAATTCGCTCTTCGGTTGCCCCGAATCTCTTCCCTCTGGTGCAGTATACCTATGCTTCGCCGCCGACGTAAAAGTGTGTGTGTGTGTGTGTGTGGGCACACGCGCATGTGCACATGTACACACATATATGTATATCTCGGAGGTTGGGGGGGTGAGATCGCAGTGAAACGGAGACCCCCCACCGGGAAGCCGGTTTCGGTTTCGTGTTCGTGTCGTGCGTGCGGGCGAGGCGAAGCTGCGCGTGATCCTCCTGTAGCTAGGCCGAAGTAGGAGCGAAAGTCCGTTCCCGTCCGCCGGTGGCTGGGAGGTGTCCCAGTTGGGCCGGGCGGTGTCCCGGGTGTCCCGGGTGCCCGTAGGAGCGAAAGTCCGTTTCCCGTCCGCCTGTGGCCGGGAGGTGTCCCAGGTGGGCCGGGCAGTGTCCCGGGTGTCCCGGGCGTCCCGGCGCTAACGCATGCCGCCAGTGGGCATTTGATCTCAATCCCCCCCAACCTCCTTATCGCCCGCAGGGCGGTCGTATAGGTATATATAAGCATATTTAAGTATATATATATATATAAAAGTATATATATATAAGTATATATATATATATATATATATATATATATATATATTATCCCCCCTCCTCGCTTCCCCACTCTCGGCCCCAACAGTTCTCCTTCTGTCATCCCTGCGTTGGCCAGCGTGGGCCCACAACAGTGTGGCCAGCTTCGCTTTCCAACGACGGGTTGCCGCCCCTCCCTCGGCGGAGGTGACGCGACGGCGCCTCCGCCGTCAGAGAGCTCCCGTTTCATGCGGGATGACGATTGATAAAAAAAATGGGAGAGAACGATTAAACACATAGTTTTCTGCTGTTTCTGCACAATGTTCTGACTGGAGGAGAACGATGTAAGAAAAATAGTTTTCCAGCCCGCGGCCGGTTTTGCTAATCGTCATCCCGGGCGCCGCCGCGTGAACACGACCCCGGGTCGTTTATTCATCGTCATCCTCCATTACTTGGGAGTTCGGCCTCAGACCCGTTGGTGAACACAGCCCTCCAGGTTTCGCTCCGAGGGCCGCGAAGACCGCCGGAGGGTGCCGGAAACCGCGGACGGGCCACCGCAGACCGTCCGCAGATCGTCGGAAGGCCGCCGAAGGCCGCCGAGGACGGGCCCGAGGCCGCTGGGCAGCACGGGGCTCCAATGGTCGCGTGCGCAGCGTTTCCAGGGCCCCGCGCCCCTGTATGATGGGCTTGTTTTCCACCACCACCACCACCATAAGTTGGAGGGGGCAAGGAGGAGGAGGAGGAGGAGGAGGAGGAGGAGGAGGAGGAGGAGGAGGAGGAGGAGGAGGAGGAGGAGGAGGAGGACCCCCTCCCCCTCCAACTTCTGGTGGTGGTGGTGGAAAGCAGGCCCCTCACCGTAGGCCCTCCGCCCCCCCCCCTTCGCGCCGGCAGGCGCGTTCGAGCTGCAGGGGCCGCTCCCGCAGGGCGCCGCGTGGGGCGGGCCGCCGGGGGGGCGCCGGAGCGCCCTGGGCGGGGGGGCGTCCGCCGCAGAGAGCACAAAAGAGCCTCTGGGCCGAAAGCGGTGGGGGCGTTCGCCACTCCAGATTTCGTAATAAAGGAAGGGGGGTCTCATTTCGGGGGGGGGTCTCTTTCAGGCTATCTTGGAGGGCCTGGGGGGTCTGGGGACGATGTTTTGGAGGCTTCTCCCACGGGGGAGGTCTGAAATGGCTTGTCTTGGAGGGTCCAGACCCCCTCCCTTTTATTACGAAATCTGGAGTAAGGAATGCGCCCAGGAGGTGCAGACCCCGCAGGGTTCCTTAGCTGACGAGGGCGGCGGTGGTATCCGTGGCCAGTCCACGATAGGGGTCCCACGGGCTTCCAGGCCCTGGGTTCCTGATCCAAGGGTTCCTTGTCCAATGCCCTCGCCGTAGCACAACGAAGACGTGGCCTCACTCAGGTCCCCGTCCGTGCATCAGGGGGAGTCGAGCTGGGTGGTCTGGTGCGGTACGTTTCTGCAGAAGAGACCCGCGCATGCACAATGTATGGGGGGGCCCCTCCTAGCTCGGGTCCCCTCCCAGAGGCTTACGGGTATTTTTTTGTTGCTTTTCGGTCAGGGGTCGGGACTCGCGTAACGGGGGTCAGCGCTAATTGGGGTCAGCCAGTCCCTCTCTGGCTGATCCAGGTCTGGGAGCCACGTGGGGCCGATTCCCTATCTCCGCCTTTCGCTGACACGGGTCCGGGAGCTGCTAATCGGCAGGCCGGCCTGAGCGACAGGGCCCTCGCCGATCCAGGTTTGTGCTGATCCGATTCAGTGCGTGCCCGAAGGGGCAACGGCAGGGGTCGGCGGCGAAATCCGAACCCTACCCTCGCTCCCACAGGTCCCGCAGGTCCCACAGGTCCCACAGGTCCCACAGGTGTCTCGGGTCTAACAGGTCCCTCAGGGGCCCCCCAGGTGCCAAAGGTACCACAGGTCCCGCAGGTCCCACAGGTCCCACAGGTCTCGCAGGTAACGGAACGAGCGAGGTACGAGTGATGACGTCGAGTTGGGGCGAAGTCCTTACAGGGGGGTCCAGTGGGGGTGCGAGGGTGGTCCAATTGTCGTTTTCTGGTTTTCCCTTGGGTTTTTGTATGTTTTTCGGGTTCTCCCCTTTTCCGTCCCAGAAGGGCCCAAGACCACCCAAGACAGCCCAAGACGGCCCAACAGGCCTCCAAGAGTCCCCCCAAGAAGCCCCAAGAGGCCCCCAAGAGGCGTCCCAAGAGGCCACCAGGAGGCCAAAATTATTAATTTCCGATGGGCAAAGCTAAATTTTTAGCAAATACGGCTTTTCGGCTTTCACGGCGTTGACGACGGCCCAAGAGGCCCCCCAAACCGCCCCAGGACTGCCCAAGAGGCTCTCAAGAGGCCCCCAAAACGGCCCAAGAGGGCCCCAAGACGGCCCAAGAGGCGCCCAAGACGGCCCAAGAGGGCCCCACGACGGCTCCAAGAGGGAGACCACGAACCGAAAAGTCTAGCTTTTCGCTTCAAGAAGCTCCCAGGAGGCCCCAAGAGCCCCCCCGAAGCCCCAAGAGGCCCCCGGCCCCCAGGATGATTATCCCAAGAGGCCCCCAAGAGCCCCAAAAGAGGCTCGCAAACGGCCCACAAGTTCTTGACACCAAGGCCCAGCCAAGGCTCAGGAACGGGCGGCAACGTTACAATCTCTGAACACCAGGGCTCCCAACGGAGACGGCGACGCAACAAGGTCTCCACACCAAGGCTCCCAAGAGCGAAGGGTGCCATGAGCTATCTCGGGCAAGTGCCTGAGGCGCTCTTTCCGTTTCCGTGCCGGCCCCAGTTCTCGCAGGTCCCACAGGTCCCACAGGTCCCACAGGTCCCGCAGGTCCCACAGGTGTCGCGGGTCTCACAAGTCCCTCAGGGGCCCCCCAGGTGCCAAAGGTACCACAGGTCCCGCAGGTCCACATGTCCCACAGGTCTCGCAGGTCTTGCAGGTTGCACATGTCCCACAGGTCCTGCAGATCCCTCAGGTCCCATACATAGGTCACCCTTGCTGCTATTGGAGTGCTTTGCTGAGACAATGCTAGTTTATCTGAACACCCCCCGCGCCCCCAATTTAACATGTGCGGGCTGCGCCGTGATGTGTTGATTTGACTGGCCGAAATCCTGCGCCCCGCTGGCGATGCCAACCAACATTGAATCGAGGGCAGGGGGCGCGTTGAAGTTTACGCCGGCACCCCAGCCGCACGGATGGTGCACGATTTTGCCCATCGGCCGCAACCCAAAACGACACCCCCCACCCTCGACCACCGCGGGGGTGAGATGCAGACCTGCGGACTGGGTGCCGCGCCTGGAGGTGGGATCCCGGGGGACGGCAACGCTCGAGCGCAGGCCTCGGAGGCCGCCGCAACCTCACCCCAGCCCCCGGTCCCGGTGCCCCGCCTGCCAGGGATTTCCCGCGGGTGCCGCCGTTGGGGGCGGGTGTGCCACTTTGGGTCATCGCCAAGGGGGGAGGCGTGGAGCCCCCCCATCGCCCTCTCATCGCCGACACGGGCCTGCAAGCCCCCCCCCCCCCCGGAACGTGCGGTTTCATTGTCAGGGGCCTGTCCCATTTCTGTGGCAGGGGCGCCATCTGCAGTTGCCCTCTCAAGGGTCTTGACCCGAGACGACCCTCCAGGGGCCGAAATTGAGAACGCTAGAGATTGAACAAAGCACGATGTTGGATACCTCGGATTTCCTCGGCCTCCTCACCTTCCTCCTCCACCGTCTCGGAATCGCCCCCCTTGCACTTTTTCTGGGGTGCGTTATGACCAGGAAATAGGAGTGGACGTAGCCCCGCAACGACTAGGGCCCCATGAGGCTCAGACAGGTAGGGGTTAAAAACATTAAACTCACCCTCGATCCTCGTAGGTGTTTCGGCCTGCCGCGAGCTACCACAACATGAGTCTGATGCCCTCGAGTGTGCTCATACGACCTCGTGGGACATCTCAACGACGGCCTCGAGATCTGAGCCTGAGATCTCATTCTGGCATGACTTTCGCCATGGGTCCTACTCACATTCGCATCCCATTTCCTTCACTCCAGGGTTCGATGCGATCCGATTCATCTCTGATTCGACCTCGAGTCTGCCAGGCTCGATCCGATTCGACCCCGTGTTTCCCACAACCCGATCAGGCTCTATGTTTGAAATGGCGCTGCTGTGCATCCTGGCGCGGCCGATCCGACTCCGCCTCCGACCCCGCGCTGATCCGGCTCCGGCCCGACCCCGGCGCACGTTCCGACTCGAGCCGAGTTCCCGATCCGATGGCGACTGATCTTGCAATTCCTCAAGGCAAGTCAAGTATGTCTTGCACCACACGGTGCGAGAGCAGAGTGAGACATTAACAACGCGGGCCGCGGGTCACACTAAAGGTGACCCAGAGGAGGAGGAGGAGGAGGAGGAGGAGGAGGAGGAGGAGGAGGAGGAGGAGGAGGAGGAGGAGGAGGAGGAGGAGGAGGAGGAGGAGGAGGAGGAGGAGGAGGAGGAGAGGAGGAGGAGGAGGAGGAGGAGGAGGAAGGAGGACGAGGACGGGGGAGGGAGGAGGACGGAGGAGGAGGAGGAGAGGAGGAGGAGGAGGAGGAGGAGGAGGAGGAGGAGGAGGAGGAGGAGGAGGAGGAGGAGGAGGAGGAGGAGGAGGAGGAGGAGGAGGAGGAGGAGGAGGAGGAGGAGAGAGGAGGAGGAGGAGGGGAGGAGGAGGAGGAGGAGGAGGAGGAGGAGTTCGGAGGAGGAGGAGGAGGAGGAGTTCGGAGGAGGAGTTCGGAGGAGGAGGGGAGGGGAGGAGGAGGAGGAGGAGGAGGAGCAGGAGCAGGAGGAGGAGGAGGAGGAGGAGGAGGAGGAGGAGGAGGGAGGAGGAGCAGGAGGAGGAGGAGGAGGAGGAGGAGGAGGAGGAGGAGGGGAGGAGGAGAGGAGGAGGAGGAGGAGCCTGCCTCGGCGCGAGGGGGTCTCCGAGGTGGGACTGCGGGCCGCCTGCGTGAATTCCGGTGGTCAGGGGGAAAGGCCCTTGAGCCTTCCCCCTTTGGGCGAGGCTGGCCGTGGCCACAGTGCCTCTCGCCTACCTGCCGCACCCACGCCAGCGCGACGCCGTGCCTTCGCTCCTCCCTTCCTGCTTTCTTTCGCATCGGGTGCCGTTCTCGCTTTCTCTTCCCCCCCTTCCCCGGGGCGCTGGGGGACCCAGCTGCCCCGCCCTGGGGAGGCCTTTCGGCTCGCTACTCCCATTTTGTCTTGTTGCAGCTTCTTAGATTGATCGCGCCCACCCCAGGGCAAACGCCCCTGGGTGATGGGGGATGGCAGCCTCTGACAGACACCATTGCCTCTAGCTCTAAGCTCTAAGGTTGTGGATGAGGAGGAGGAGGAGGAGGAGGAGGAGGAGGAGGAGGAGAGGAGGAGGAGGAGGAGGAGGAGGAGGAGGAGGAGGAGGAGGAGGAGGAGGAGGGGGAGGGGGAGGAGGAAGGAGTTCGGAGTTCGGAGTTCGGAGTTCGAAGTTCGGAGTTCGGAGGAGGAGGAGGAGGAGGAGGAGGCGGAGGAGGAGGAGGAGGAGGAGGAGGAGGAGGAGGGGCAGGAGGGGAGGCAAGCAGCAGATCACCAGACGGGGCCATTCCTCCCCTGCCAAGTTCTGGCCCGAAGGAGGGTCCCCCTCGGGCCGCCGTGGGGAGCGGGGCCGCTCGGCGCGGGGCTTCTCCGCGCCGAGCGCCGGCGATGGGGAGCGGCCAGAGCGCATCCTCTCGGAGGCCTGGGAGTTCCCCGAGGTTCGGTGGAAAGGTGAGCGACGAAAGAACAATGCGGCCACGCGCAGAGGGGGGTCAGGGGGAGGGGTGAAGGCTTCTCAGAGGCACTCCTGCTGCACAGAAGGCGCGGGTCTTATCTGCAGATGTGAGGCCGTGGCCTTCTAAGAATTAGCCTCCTTCTAAGAGCGGCCTTCCCCTCTCTCCCTATCCCCTCGTGCGCGCAACCAAG